TAATTTAACAATTTTTTGCACAGAGGTGCCTGGGTGGCTCAGTGAATTTAGCGTTGGACTCTTGATTTTGGCTCAGGTCATGATGCAGGGTCATGGGATGGAGCCATGCATCATTGGGCGCCCTCTCCCTCTCTCTCCCACTTGCTTGCTCACTTTCAAAAAAAAAAAAAAAAAGGAAAGGGAAGAAAAAAAGGCAATCTATGGAACGGGGGAAAATATTTGCAAACCACCTATCCAACAAGAGTTGATATCCAAAATATATAAGGAATTTATACAACTCAAGTGGAAAAAACCCAACCCAACAAATAACTCAATTAAAAACAGGCAAGGACCTGAACAGACATCTTCCCAAAGAAGATATACGAATGGCAAATAGGTATGTAAGAAGATGTTCAAGATTACTAATTATTAGGGACATGCAAATCATAACCACAATTTTAGATATTACCTCACACCTGTTAGGATGTCTATTATCAAAGAGAGAGAGAGAGAGAAAAAGATAAAAAAATGGTGTGGATGTGAAAAAAAAAAGGGAACCCTTGTGCATTGTTGGTGGGAATGTAAATTAATACAGCCATTATGGAAAACAGAATGGAGGTTCCTCAAGAAATTAAGAATAGAATTGCCATACAATCCAGCAGTCCCACTTCCGGGTATTTATCCAAAGAAAACAAAAATCACTATCTTGAAGAAATATCTGCATTCTCATATTCACTGCAGCATCATTCACAAAAGCCAAGATATGGATGAATGGATAAGCACAATGTGGTATGTATGTATATGTGTGTGTGTGTGTATATAATGGAACATTATTCATCCTTAAAAAAGATGGAATCTTAATGATAAGAAGGATATGTGGATTTTAAGAAAAAAAAAAGTTGAACTCAGAGAAACAGAGTAGAATGGTGGATCCCAGGGCCTGGGGCAGGGGATGGGAAATGGGGAAGGTTGATAAAAGAATATCAATTTTCAGTTATAGCATGGCCGAGTTCTTTGGATCTAATATTTAGTATGGTGACTAGAGTTAATAATACTACATTGTAGGGGCGCCTGGGTGGCGCAGTCGGTTAAGCGTCC